GACATCCTAAGAAGTGCCTTTCTTGTAGTATTCACGATATTGAGCAATAAAACAGTGAATGTTAATCAGTATACACGACATATTGGGGAGGAATCATGTGGAACATGAGGTTAAGAAGAAATTCACAAAATTGCAAGATGGATGAGTTCCAAACCTTATCCTATTACTATATATAAAAAAACCTTATCCTAACACTATAAATATAACATCCCATTGGCTAAACCAAGATGCATGGAATGGATCAGAAAGGGCTGGTTAAGTCTTTGTCTTTCTACCACATAATTCTTAAGTGACAAGGTATAGATTTGTCATCTATTAATAGAGATTCCTAGAACTCCAAGAAAAGTCTTCTTTTTTACTTGGCTGGTGCAACGGGGTCAACCCCATGGTAGAGAAACCCGAGCAAAAGGAGAGCAAAATGAGGCTGACATGTCAGTCGGTTTTACATGGGCAAGCAGTCAAGAGAGAATATGGTTCATCTTTTTGTGCATTATCAAGTAGCAAACAAGTTATGGTGGATATTGCTTAATATGTTCCGAACGCATTGTGATGTAGGCCACAGTTAAAGACGTGATATTAAGTTCAACCTTCAAATGGAGTAAAAGAAGTCGAACATGGCATGCAGCTTCATTGGTTTTCATGTGTTTCGAGGGAGGAGAATATGAAAGCTCTATTAGGGGTGAAAAACAATGTTATACTTTTGGTGCATGACAAAGGCTTCTATTAGCATTAATGACGGAGTGCTATTTGTAGGGAATTATATTTTCTTACAGAGTATGTACTTTGTAAACCCACATGTATTTTGGAAATTTCTCCACCACATTCATTTAATTATTACTTTATTGAAAAAGAACCAAAAAAGAAAGAAAACCCACATGCTATGTTGCTCGGGTTCTTTGAAAATGATCCTCTAAAAGTAGTAATTTTTGGAGGATCCGACACAGTTGCAGTAACATTTTGGAAAGTCCGCGCAACATAGCCCACAAGTGCTACTTATCGGAAAAAATCCAACGAAGAAATCTAACCTTATAATATTTTTCTAAGCACAAAAGTCGTGGATAGATCTTTATCTAATAATCATATGCAACTTTTCAGGCACAAAAGAAAATTGAGTATCATGAATTTGATCCATCAATCTTTTTTTATCAGTTATTTAGTGAAAACTTGCTAACCAAATAGCTTCACTTGTTGGCTTACCAAACAAGTGAACCCCAATGCTTGAATTAAGTGAAACTTTAGATCTTGCGGGGAACTTGTTCTTCGTGAAAGCCCATGATGAAAAACTGTAAAGGTGTGACTTCTAGAGTTTGTAGTGGTGGTCTACAAATACCGCTTTGATTAATTCTTATGATGGGATGAGACTTAGAGAATCCATAGGTGAGAGATGTGAAGCAAAGTGAGAACAAGTAGTTGGGTCTCTACAAGTAGACATTTGGATGGAATAGTGGTCTTTTGTTGGTTAGTTCAGATTACTAAGGATAAAAGAAGGATCTTACTTTGGCAATGGAAGTAAGAGGGATGCAGATGAGACTTATAGGAGAAATTGTTACCATGAAAGTGACATTCGTTTTACAAGATTAAATCTTTTAGACTGAACATATACAAAGAATTTTCCTTAATCTGAAAGGTATTACGTGGGCAATGCCTAGGTTATACTTGATGTTCTACTATGTTGGAGCATATACAGCACCTCCCCCAATTAGAAAGAGAGATAAAAGATTGTCCCAACTTGTATTTGGTTGTACAGTTTGGAATGAGAGAAACCAAAGATGCTTTGAAGAAAAGAGCCGCACTACCCAGAAAATGAAGATGAATTGTTTATCCCTTTTCTATTTTTGGTGTAAGCAAGAGTTCAGGGAAGATCTTGAATCTATTGTTGAAGTCTTAGTTTCCCTGTAGTAGAGAAAGGATTAGCAAATCTTCCTTTTTGTAAAAAGGCAGCCTAGTGCACTAAGCTCCCGCTATGCGCGGGGTCCGAGGAAGGGCCGGACTACATGGGTCTATCGTACGCAGCCTTACCCTGCATTTCTGCAAGAGGCTGTTTCCACGTCTCGAACCCGTGGCCTCCTGGTCACATGGCAACAACTTTACCAATTACACAAGGCTCCCCTTCAAATCTTCCTTTTTTGTAATTATGGATATTTGTACCAGCTTTTGTACAGTTAATATATATACACCAAACGGACAGCCCGGTGTATTAAGCTCCCGCTATGTGCAGTGTCCGGGGAAGAGCCGGACCACAAGGATTTATTGTACACAGCCTTATCCTGCATTTCTGCAAGAGACTATTTCCACGGCTCGAACCCGTGACCTCTTGGTCACACCAAGACATTAAAATCTTTTTGATATGTTTATTAGTGCTAAAGTTTTGTGTTAGATTATTTAAACTGTTAATTGATGGCAAGTGACATTCAAAATCATACACAGCTTTGGAAACAAATCTAGATAAAGGGACAATACAACCTTGGTTGTTTTTCTTGGTTAATAGGAAATGATGCTTGCTTGACACAGAAGAATCTTCAAAAAAGTGTGTTTCAGCTCATCTATGTGGGCATGAAGCTGAGAGTCTGTCTCGTTTCTTATATAAATTCATAGTTATGTCATCCATTTTTGGATATGCTGGGGCTGAATGGTATTGCCAAAGAACATTCAAGGGCCACTGAGGTGTTTGGGAAAAAAAAGGTTTTGAAGGAAGGGTTGAAGAAGCTATGGAATAGAATCTCAGCATATGGTGGATAATCTCAAGAGAAAGGAATCTCAGGTTCTTCAAGGGCAATGCTAATTCCAATTTGAAGATTAAGATACTATTGTCTGCTTTTGTTTTTTTATTAAGGTTGATAAGGGTGCTGAATCAAAAAACAAATTAGGGTTGAAAAAAAGCATATGTATGTGAGGCTGATACCTAGGTAGAATTAATATATTCCACACAAACTTAGAAAGGATTATATTTATGCTTCTCGGATGTACAATGTGCAGCATCACGTAAGTGTTGTATGGTATGGTATCAATAAAGTTTTCTTATTTATTGATCTAAACACAATACTTGAAGTGTGAATTTTTATATTCTATAGTCCCACATGGACAATTACCATATGCGTCTTGTGATAAGCATCCAGAAATAGGCGAGCCTCGTATTCATCAAATTGTCAAGTAGCCAATAATTCTCATCTTTCCTATTTTATGATTTTATTACATAATATCGAAGTTTACGATTGTGCTAGAGATTCAAGTAGCTTGCATTTATCGGCAACACTCCTATGTCGTATGCCCTACTAAAGTGTTATTGTTTTGACTGTCAGTTATATTCCCGTTGTTGGCGCTTTTTAACGGATTTTGAATGATAAAGCTTTTTCGAGAATATGCATCTGGCATGTCCTCCGACAACTATTATGGCAATTATTTACGTTTAAGTGTTTTCAAGCTAAGTAAATTCAAGTTAGTTTTCTTACTTTTGAGTTTCTGGGAGTGGCTAGAATGCTAAGTTTTAATGTTAAAATAAGAATGTATGAAGTGTTAAATTCTATGTTAGATATTGTCCCGCATGGGACAAATATCATTTCTATTATGTTTAACTCCTATAAATTGCATACATAAATGTTGTCAAAGGCGCGCTTAAGCCCTGAAGCGAGGCTCAAAACATGTTGAGCGTTTCGCCTCGCTTTGTCGGCGCTTTAGTATCGCATCAAGGCTCTAAGGCATACTCTTCCTTGTTAATGAGTGTAATCTGAAAAGACGATATGAAACAATTGATATTTCACTTTATCGTAATTTTTTTCCAATTTCTTTGTCCATATATTTGTTATTCATGCTTATAATTATTAGTTTTGGACTACATATACATATTTGTACTTTTTCTCCAGTTGCGCCTTTTTTCATTAAAGCCCACACTTTATTTGCGCTTTGCGCTTAAAGCCCCAATGGACCTTAGAGCTTTTTTGTGCTTTTCGCCTTTGATAACACTGCCATACATCAAGTTAAGAAGTAATCAATAACTCTCGCGTTGCTCGTGTTGTTTCACAATATACTCATATTTTATAAGAAGTTTTAGCTTTGGCAAAGCCAGTTCTATGAGATAAAGCTGGCTTGTGAACCCACTAAGGTTAGCTTAAGATTTCTAAGCTAAACCTTTTTCTGGACAAGTAAGATATCTAAAATACTTGATTTGTGAGCTAGGAGTTAAGAAAAATGTGAGAAGTGATATATATTAAATGACAAACAAATGTAGATTGACTGGCATTCTTTAAAAACTAAGAGCTGCTTAAGATTTCAATCTCAGCTCTTTAAAAGAAGCTAAGAAAACAAGATAGAGCTAGAGCTAAAGAAACAAGAGGGAGCTAGGATCTATTCATCAAATTATCAAGTAATCAATAACTCTCACCTCCCTTGTTTTCTCACAATATGCACACAAGAATTACATAATATGAGAAGGTTAGGCAGTGCCTTAGTTCTATGAGATCAAGCTTGCAAGCCCAATGAGGTTGGATTATAATTTCTAACCTAACTATTTTCTTTGAATAAGTAAGATTCTAACTTATTTGATTTCTTTTTTTTTTTTTTTTTTTTTTTTTTATAATGATAGTGGCTGGGTTGGTCTAGTCCACTGGTTTCCTGCTATCTTTCACCAACATGAATACTAGATAACTTAATTTACCAAAAATTAAATAAATGGGAAGAGTTTACCTTGTGTGGCCTCCATTGGAATTCAAAACTTGGTTTGTAAGGTTGTTTTCACTCTTCAACTGCTAGGCCGCCCCTTGCGGTTGTGGAAGTTTTAATGTCTTGACACTAAACCTCATTGTATTTGGCTATATGCTATAGTTCGTGTTTATATATGTATATATGTATATATGTTATATTATACTATATTACAATATTTATGTTTAAATATGTAATATATATAATATTCCTCGGCACTTTTAGCTTTTTTTAATCTTATGTAGGGTACCGTTTGGGCTAAGTTTTAACTTTCACACCTTGCTAAGTGACTACTTTTCTTGCAGGTGCTTGAAAGCTTGGTTCTCAATGGGTGTTGGTTTTAGTCTTGCCATGTTGGCTGCAGTTACTATGGTCAGTCACCTGCTAGATTCAGTATTGTTTTATTTCTTTTTTATTTCCTATTTAATTAATGTTTGAAAATAGCAAGGAAAAAGGATCTGCTTTCCCCATTTTGTTTAACTTCTGCCCATTGAATTAGCATTTCTTTATTCTTGCCAGATTCTTTTGTATGAAATCGGCCAGATACTATGTCTCTATTACGGCAACATCCAGATGAGCTATGTTATGAGTGGATATCTGTTTGGGTTTTCTTCTATGGTATGTATTCTCACATTATTAACTCACTTGGTTTTCAGTCTTTCTTTGGATTACTGTTCTTCAAACCAGTACTTCATTACCATCATGGCTAGGAACGGGGAAAAAATATTATGAAAAGTAAATGATTTCCCTGTCATTTCTAGGCATTCATAGAACAGAAAAACAGAACTCAAGGTCGCAAATAAATGAACGTCAATTACTTACCAATCAGACATTGGTGTTTTTTCGACCCATATACCAGTTCTTCTCTTTTTCTTCATGCAATTAAACTTGCAACCCTCTGAAAAGGAAAAATGAGTAGAGAAGATTGATAGCGTTACCTTTGGTCTTTTGCTCTCTTTCTTGAGCATAGTTTATTTTATTAGGCAAGAAGTTATGCTTGTTTAGGCTGCTTCTAACGTGTACCTATGTTGGTTGTCTATTTGGCTTAATAAGGTAAGGGGTGAAATGATCTTGACTTATGCTATCTTATCGGGCAAATAGCTTGAAACAGCTATTTGCATTCAAATCAAGAGTTCTCTAAACAATTGCATCTGCTTCATTTGTTTTTGGGCGCAGATATCAGGCTTGACCATCTCACTGGCTGACATTGGATATCTGTGCATATCTTCCATCATATCAGTTTCAGTGCATGAACTTGGCCACGCTCTAGCTGCTGCAAGGTTAAGACTAATACTGTTTTAAAATGTTTGGAGCACAATGTGGATTGTAGCTATATATATTCATGGAAATCTTCTTGAAAGATTATGTTCCTTCTTGTACTTGTACTCTTTCATTAGTTCTCCTAATTTTGGAACTAAGGGGAGAAAATAATACATGTGGGACAATGCATATACGAAGGATGATGAATAATTTTCTCCGTAGATGAGTTTCTGTGGTTTCAGTCCCGGTAGATTAATAATGGCAGGGCATCTAAGCTTTGGCTTCATTGAAGGCTTACTTAGAGATGATTGAGAATTTTGAACTGTTATTCAGCAATATAATCAGGGTATGTTGAGGAAGAGAGTTCGTTACATGAACAGACTGACAGAGATGTATCTTCCACTGATGCTTCGATTAATGGATACTCAAAGGACAAGAATATGAATTCCAGTTCACCCATCACTTACTTCGGTGCTTTTGTTCGGGTATCCTGAATTTTCTTCCTTTACCCAGATGTTTCTGAATGGTGGAAAGTTTTCGACATGTGTGTTCGGGCTGGAGGGAAATGAGGGGTATGCATCTTTCTAGTAAAGTTTCATCAATGAATTGATCAAGCTGGAGGAGACGAGGTATCAAAGTGTAGAGGCACAAGGTTTCTAGGATAAGATGCAGTTAACATTTTTTGTGCCTTTTTCTACGCATGATTAATAGCTTTTATGAAATTTTTGTATATAAGCCTCATGGCTGCACAGCGAATAATAGATATGTCGTTAAGCATGTTAAATGCATCAGTTAACGTTCACGATCTTTGATTTTACAATTGGCTGATTATTGTCTCATTACCTGATCAGTTGTCATGTTTTGAGACCTAGCAGTAGCAGTACACGAATCTCACAACTGCTTTTGTAGGCACTACATACGTTCCCGATCTTTGATTTTACAATTGGCTGATTATTGTGTCATTACCTGATCAGTTGTCATGTTTTGAGACCTAGCAGTAGCAGTACACGAATCTCACAACTGCTTTTGTAGGCACTACATTCTGGGAAAGCAGTGAGGGCATACAGATGGAGTACATCGCTGTATTTCTGGCTGCTTTATTTCCAGGCGCTCTAGTGGCATTCAATCACGAGTTATTGCTGGCATTATCCAAAGTTTCTGCTCTTCGTATATACTGTGCTGGCGTTTGGCATAATGCAGCTGTGGGTGCTTGTAGCAGCTCTTGGTTTTTTTAAGGAATACTAGTCCATCTACATTTATTTGTCATATTATGTACTCTTTGAACTAATTGGGCGACTTTTCTTTCAGCTTTGTGCTGTTTGTGCTTGGGCATTGTTCGTTCAACCCTTGATCTTGTATCCATTTTATATTCATGACGAAGGCCCCATGGTAATTGAGGATTAATTTCCTACACTGTAAGGTGCTAAACTGGGGGAACCTAATTAGGCATTGTTGTGGCTAATGTGTTCCAATCACAATATGTTGAGCAGGTGCTGGATGTGTCTCCAACATCGCCATTGTCTGGCTATTTATCTCCTGGTGATGTCATAATATCATTGGATGGCATCCGCATCAATAATCTTCAGGAGTGGTCGCAACTATTAACTGAACACCATCAAAACTCTCAGAATCACAGCCTTCTTGGAAACTCTATGCAAAGAAGTGTTGGTAAAGGATACTGTGTTCCCTATTCTTTGGTTGAAGAAAGCAAACATATTTCGTTGAAAGGCAATGAAACTTCTTGTCCTGATGAACTAAGTCCTTTTATTACCATTCCATGCTTGGATCAGGCCATGCCTGATGGTGATAATCTTGAGGTTAACCATCAAAGGGATGGAGGTGAACTCCGCTGCTTATATGCGACGGATATATTAAACCTTGAGAAATGTGGTGATGGTTGGGACAGAATTCATAGCAACAGGAGCAGCTGCTTGTGTTCCAAGGTGAATTTTTAGTGTGTCCTATTGAGACAAGAAGCTATATCTTTATATCATTTTGCCAGGTGTTTATGTTTGTCATGTACTGCCAAGAAAATTTGCTCATGTAGTTTGTGATGCGTTATTATGATTAGAACAAACACAATCACACTCAAAATGCATTTGAACACGTGGTGAAAAATTGATGTTTTGTTGCAGGACAAAGCATGCTTTGTTCCACTTTTGTCGACCGGTGTGGCGTGGGTGGAGATAACATATTCAAGTCCTTCTCCTATGCAATGCTCGCAACTTGGAACAATGCATGTGCTTGGTGATGATAACTCAAGGGAGAACCCCTGTGTTAAGACCTTTGTTTTTGTGGGTGATGTAATTTCAATGAAGCATTCAGTTCTCTTGACTTCATATCAACCTCGTTGGTCAGCTAAATTTGGTGCACATCTTCCATACGTACTGGAAAAGTTTTTGATGTTCACCTTTAATGTCTCTTTGACCCTTGCACTTCTCAACAGCTTGCCGGTATGTACTCATATAGAAAAGGATAACTTTCTCTGATGTCTTTTAGCCCTCGTGTGGTTATATCTTGTTGTGTATTTTCTGCAATAAGAATCAATTGAACCTCTATGTGATGTTAGGAAGTACCAGTTTTGTTGGGCAGGTTGCAACAGCTTGATGATTACAGAATTGTGCTGATTTGGGCCCAAAAGGATAGAGAATTATTGAATGAAATGGGTCTTATAATGGGTTATTTCTTAGAAAGATTAACCATAGTAAGAGCTTGGAAAACATGAAAGTCAAGGCATGTTTAAGACTGGAAAAACAGTTATGATTTTATGGAAAGATGAAAAGAAAACACTGTGGATTAGGTTTCCGCAGGCATCATACCACAAGTTTATGATTATTTCAACAATGAATGAAGGAAAATTACTGAATTATCATGTAATAGGTTTACTTTATGGAATTGAAAGTATTACATACTAGGTATTGATGTTACCTAATCGTACTCCAAAAGGGATACCCTAAACATATAGGAAGCAAATGCTATTCCTGTTCCCAACGGCTTCTTACTAAACTTTATTTAGACTCCACAGATAGAACATTTTTTCCCAGAAAATCCTGTTTGCTACTGCGATTAGCAACAATACCATGACGAAATCATGAAACATCTATTGGACGGCATTGCAATCTGAGGATGTCAAAAACAAGACCAAAGATGTTACTACTATTAAGGTGGAAGCATGAACGGAATACCTTGGTGTGATAGTTCAAGCGGGTTAAACATTTGTAAATGGTCGTGTTTGAATCCATTCTCTTACATTATTTTCTCTATTTTAGGAAAACCTGGACTAAATTCTTTCAAAAATGATCTCTATTGGGATATGTGCCAGAGATCTTTTCTCTCTCTTCTCTTCCTTTCCAAACTTCGGCATAGTCCTTTCTCGATGAAACTCCTATATTTGCCTAGTAATGGATCGGGGAATCACTTCTATTTCAAGCTAAAAAACATTGAATAAGTTAGCATTAATGAGGAAGCTGAAAGCTGGTTTGTCCTTACAGAGCGCAACAGAAGATTTATGAGCCAGATTAAGATTGATGAAAGCAATCTTCGATGGGTATGTGAAGCATTGGTTCAAGCCTCACTACAGTCCGGTAATAAATGCAAGAGATAAGGTAGGAAGATACAAGCTTACACCTTCAGAGTGGTCCAGAATTTTAATAGCTGCAGATGGTTCGTTAGAGTAGAATGTATCGTAGGGGATAATAAATATGCAATTATTATCACAGAAGGTAGTTACAACAAAGAATGTGGTGGACATAGCAAGGAAGTACAAGGGTATTTAGGGACATATAGACCCAAGATCCATCTTTACGCAGATCAGTCCAGGCCTTATAAGGAAACTGTAAGGATTTCACAATGGCCAACTAAGATCAGTGCTGCAACAGGGCAATGTCCAGATCCACCAAAGGAAGAACATGGAAATGAACATTCCCTTTCGAAATGCCTCATTGGCTAGTTCAATGGTCATTCAACTTCAGCCTGATGCAGAGGTGATTTAGAGGTGGTTCATAGGCAGATGGCATGTCACAACTGGTCTTAAAGTCACCAATCGGGCATAATCAGTTCCTTTTCGAACTCCCGTCCAGAATGAAAACGTCAAAGCTGGTGAGTGGTTTTGGAATGACAGAAGATTGACTTTGCAATGGTGGTCTCTTGTGAGTGGAATAGAGATGCTAGCAATGAAGTCAGATCACAGGTGGGTGAAGGCTGTTGGAATCTCTATCCAAGCATGGACTTCAGACACATTCAAGTTCGTCGGTTACAAGTGTAGTGGTCTCATTGGAATTGACGAAGACACCAAACATAAGGTGCATCTATTCCAAGATTGTATCTGTGTGAAAAATAGCAAGGGAGAAATGCCGAGAAAGTTGGATTTGATTAAGGAGGATTGGGGGTTTGAAATTTCATTATTGGAGGACCATCGCACCAGAGTCTAGCTGATCAGAAAACCTAGCTTCGGCGAAGTAGAGAGGACGCCCGTAGAAGTAGGTACATCGAGCCATGCATCGAGGATAGCAGCTACACATGTGGGAGAACACTTGGACAACTTTAGTCTAAAAATTGGTGCAGGTGTTAATCCAAATGGTAAAGGGTTAGCAAATTTAGAAGGTAATGACTAATGAGAGGAGATGGCCTACTACAAGTGGTGTTAAATATTTAGGCTTGGAAATAAATAAAATTATAGAAAAGGCCCCAAAAAAGCCCATTTGAAAGAGTTTAACTTATTAAAAGAGAAGATAATTTGGAGGATAGTTGGACACAAGCCCAACACAAATGCAAATCGATTTAATGCCTTAACCATGTCTCTTGGATCTGAATACCCTTTGATACCAAAGTCCTTCATAGCCTCCTCGGCAAAACAGAGCTCGAAAATTAGCCCCTCTGATGCAGATGATAAAGCTAATCCATAACAGAGACTACTAGCCACTTATCATTCTCCCCTCGATTATGGAATTAGTTCCAATAAGCAACTCAGATACGAATTTCTCTTCCCACGCAGTCTGCAAAGCTCTTCCTTTGACATGGTACGAGGGTGATTCCAGTATGCAGCTAATAGACAAATCTTCTCTTATTACAACAACAAAAAATTCAATATATTCCCATAAGTGGGGTCTGGGAAAGATAATGTGTATGCAGACCTTACCCCTACCTCGCGAAGGTAGAGAGGCTGTTTCCAATATACCCTCGACTCGGGGGATAAGTAGTACTAAATAATACCAACAGGGAATACGGTAAGTGAAGCGAACTAAACCACATGACGTAATAAAGATATAAAAATATGAAGGAACACGAGTGCTACTAAAACTATCAGTAAGGAAAAACTTTCAACTACCTACTAACCTTCTACCCTAATTCTCTCCTCCACACCCTCCTATCAAGGGTGATGTCCTCAGTAAGCTGAAGCCGCGCCATAAGCTGCCTAATCACCACTCCCCAGTACTTCTTTGGCCTACCTCGACCTCTTCTCCAATCCGCCAAGTCCAACCTCTCACACCTCCTAACAGGAGCATCGACGCTTCCCCTATTTACGTGCCCGAACTATCTCAACCTCGACTCTCACATCTTGTTCTCCACGGAGGCAACTACCACTTTTTCCTGAATAGTTTCATTCCTATTCTTATCTTGCCTGGTATGCCCACTCATCCCTCTCAACGTCTTTATTTCTACTACTTTCATCTTCTGTACATGAGAGTTCTTGATTGGCCAACACTCAGCCCCATATAGTATAGTTGGTCAAACCACCCTTTTGTAAAATTTACCCTTAAGTCTTGGTGGCACATTCTTATCACATAAAACACCGGATGCGAGCTTCTATTTCATCCATCCCGCTCTAATACATTATGCGACATCCTCGTCAATCTCCCTGTTACTTTGGATAATAGACCTGATATACTTGAAACTACCTCTCTTGGGGATGACCTGAGTATCAAGCTTCACATCCACGTTTATTTCATGAGTCCCGTCACTGAATTTGCACTTTAAGTATTTTATTTTAGTCCTGCTCAACTTGAAACCTTTAGACTTCAAGGTCTGTTTCCAAACCTTCATCCTTGCGTTAAACTTGCATCACGTCTCGTCGATATAGCAGGCACCATGGCACCTTCCCTTAGATGTGCCGCGCCATAACGTCCATCGCCAAGACAAAAAAAACTGGCTAAGAGCCGATCCCTGGTGTAGCCCCATCACAACTGGAAAGTGCTCCGAGCCCCCCTCCCATAGTGGTCACCCGAGTCCTAACACCATCAAAAATATCCTTAATCAACCTAGTGTACGCTATCGGAACGCCGCTAACCTCCGAATACCTCCATAGAACTTCCTTCGGAACTTTATCAAACGTTTTTTCAAGGTCGATGAACACTATATGTAAGTCCCTTTTCCTTTCCCTATACTGCTCCACTAATCTCCTCACTAGATGAATAGCTTCCATAGTCGAACGCCCCGACATGAATCCGAACTGGTTTTCGGAAATAGACACGCTCCTCCTCACCCTGTCTTCCACCACTATCTCCTAAATCTTCATAGTGTGGCTAAACAACTTTATACTCCTATAGTTGTTATAATTTTGTATATCACCCTTGTTCTTGTAAAACGGAACCATCGTGCTCCACCTCCATTCTTCGGGTATCCTTTTCGTCTTAAAAATGATATTAAACAACCAGTAAGCCACTCCAAGCGTGCTCGGCCCGCGTTCTGCCAAAATTTCACTAGGATTTCGTCTGGCCCCGTTGTTCTGTCCCTGCTCATCTTACGTATCGCCCCTTCCACCTCCACTACCTTAATACGCCTACAATACCCAAAATTCCGCCGACTCTCGGAGTGCTCCAACTCATCCAGCATAATACTTCTGTCCCCCTCCTTGTTCAACAGTTTATGGAAGTATGTTTGTCATCTTCGTCTAATATGTGCCTCGTCCATCAATTCTCTGCCGTCCTCGTCTTTGATGCACTTCACTTAGTCCAAGTCACGAGCCTTCCTCTCCCTCATCTTGGCCAACCGGTACAAGTTCTTGTCTCTGCCTTTTGCCCCCGAGTTCCTCATATAGACGCCCAATGCCGCATTATTAGCCGCCGTAACCGCTAATTTTACCTCTTTCTTTGCCTTCTTATAACACCCCCGATATATCCTTTTTTTCTCCTCGTCTGTACTCTTCACTAGCTTCAAATAAGCTGCTTTCTTGACTTCTACTTTACATTGGACCTCTCTATTCCATCACCAGTCCCCTTTGTGACCCCCAAAATAGCCCTTCGTGACCCCTAAGACCTCTCTAGCAGCTTCCCTAATGCAATTCGTGGTCGTGGTCCACAAACTAGTCACGTCTCCCCTACTCCTCAACGCCCTCACAACTTGCAACCTCTCCCCCAACTCCTGAGCTTTGTTCTTAGTCAAATTACCCCCCTTGATCTTAGTTTGCCTGCACAACCCCCTCTTTCTCCTACTCTTGATCACAGGTCCATTACTAGGAGCCTATGCTGGGTTGTGAGGTTCTCACTTGGGATGACCTTGCAGTCGGTGCATAGACCTTTATCACATTTCCTGCAAAGGAGGTAATCAATCTGGGTCTTGGCTACCGAACTCCGAAAGGTGACCAAGTGCTCCTCCCTTTTTGGAAAACTCGAGTTAGCTATCACCAAATCAAAAGCTCTAGCAAAAATCCAACAGTAAGGTGCCCCCATCGTTCCTATCCCCAAAACCGAACCTGCCATGCACATAATCATAACCCCTAGCATTAGCCCCAATATGACCATTGAAATCCCCGCAAATGAAAACTTCTTGGTGTGCGGGATATTATGCACCACCTCGTTAAAATCATTCCAAAATTGCCTCTTGACCTCCTGGTCGAGGAGTGTATGCGATAATCACATTTACAGTAAACCCTCCAACTACGAGCTTAATACTCATCAACCTATTATTTACCCTCCTAACCTCGACCACGAGCCCCCTGAGGTCCCTGTCAACTAAAGTACCTTCCTCGTTCTTGCCCCCAACGCCTCCTAAGTAGCAAAGTTTAAACCCGTCTACATCCCGAGCCTTCGTACCCACTCATCGAGCCTCCTGGACGCATGTTAGGTTGATCTTCATCTTCTGAAGAATCTTACCTAACTCTATAGACTTTCCCGTCAAGGTCCCCATGTTCCAAGATCCAACTCTCAGCCTAGAGGCTTCCTTATCCCCCTTCCCACCCTTGCTCCCCGCCACTGGCCCCACCCGAGGACATGAAATTACTCTCCCATCGTTCACCACGACCACTATAGTCTAAGGGGTATTGAGTAATCACTAACACTAAAATAGCAAATAGCGAAAACAAAGAATATAAGCTAAGAATTCGAAAGCTTAAGAACTCAAATGTGCAACTACGAGTATAGTAGAGCAAGCAAGCACTAGAGCAACAAATCTACCTCGTTTATAATCTACAACTATGCAAACAAAGAGTTGAAAAGGTATAGACGATAACTTAAAACTTATAGACGGTGATTGCAAAGACAAAAAAGCAAGCAAGTGTTGTCTACCTAGAGCAGTCAATCCAACAACTGGTAGTCGGCGAGGCAACAAAAAAAGATGTATTAAACACAATTAATGATTGCCAGGGAGGAAATAAGAAAGAAACAAAAGTAAAGATTATGCACGCAAATACGAATGAGCGGAACAAATAACAACAAGTCAAGAGGGATAGAACCTAATTGCAAGTACAGAAACACAAGCAAGTGATGTCTACCTAGAGCAGTCAGTCCAACTACAGATTGCTGGGGAGGCAACCAAAACTAATAGATGTATACACAATAAGAGATTGCCGGTGAGGCAAACAGGAAAGAGATGAACGCCAATACAATTCAAGAAAGATGGAACCTGGATTATAGTCGGAGATGTACGGATGCGCTCCCTTATGCACTGAATGTTGTTGCCTACCGAACCTTGCAATGGTGCTTAAGCCAGGCTAAAGTTGTCTCCTCTGTCATGCTGAGATAAAACAAGAACACGAGTCCAACAAAATAAAAGGGGATGGGGGTCGGACTGCCTAGGTCTCTGCTGAGAGCGACTGGTCCGAGAGATAAAAAGGAGCAGGGGGAGAAAAGAGAAAAGAGAAAAGAGGAACAACAAGGGGGAAAGCGAGAGACGGGGACCGCCTGACAGTGGTCGCCGGCAGTTTAGGTTTTATGGGCGGAAAATGAGGCGCGGAGAGGTGTGAGAGAGACAGAAGAGAAAGAGAAAGGGCGGAGTGTAGAGGGGATCTGCCTGGGAGCGCCAGCAACCAGCGACTAGGCCCAAAAAGGGGATCGGGAAAGGGATAAAAGAGGGGAGAGAGAGAGGGAAAGGAGAAAGAGAGGGCGGGAGAGAGGAGAGTGGAGGAACAAAGAAAAGGAGAAAACGAGAGGAGGAGACCTTTCCTGCGCCGGAGATCGGTGTGACGCCGAAAAAACGACCGGCGGAGGCGACCGATAGTGATGACCGTTAGTGAGTGAGATGAGAGAGAGAGAGAGAGAGAGACCGTTCACTCTTCCAAATTAAATCCACAGATCTTCTCTTATTGAGGCCTCGAAATGGACTAAAATCACTATTGTGAAGCCATGCAAGGCCTTTGGGGTTAATGCGACCGTGTTTGAGCATGATCTCCGGGATATTATTCTAAGAATGGAGCAACAAAGACAAATCCTAATTCTGCAAGAAGAGTCGAAGCAAAAGTTTGGAAAGGAGAAGGAAAACAAAGGATAAGGAACGAAAAAGGTCAGTTCGTGGAATCAATTATGATGAAAAAGGGAAACATGTTAGTGGGATTAGGGGTAGGCACTATAACTCCTTTTCTGGATGAAGCTATTCATTCTGAGTTGGAACGTGCGAGGGTTGAATAATGATCTCTCATTCAAAAGTGGAGGGTGGATATCTTGTGTCTGCAGGAGACTGAGATAGAGGATTGGTCTGGTAGAATGATTCAGCAACTTTGGGGTAGCAGGTGGGCGGCTTAGGTGGAATTAAAATCATGTAGAACTAGGGTAGGGGTTGTAATGATTTGGCATAAGAGGTAACAGAACAAAATTGACATATTCAGGGTTCCTACTCCATATCATATATGCTTGGGAGCATTCAAGAGGAATTCAGGTTGTGCTCCGCAGGTTTTTATGGGCCTCACACTAATCGAGAAAGGGAAGAGATGTGGAATGAACTTGTAGGGGTAAGGGGAGTATGGTGATGTCACTAGGTTTTGGGAGGTGACTTCAATGTTTGCAGATTTGCAAGTGTGGCTTAATTGCATCAGAAGATCCACAGCGATGAAATCATTCCCAGACATTATCCAGAATCTTGATGTTATTTATTTACCTCTTGAAGTGGCTCATTACACCTGGTAGTCTGGTACAGAGGTGATAACCGCATACAGGCATCCAGAATTGATAGGTTTATCATCTGCTCGTGGAATGACCCATTTAGAGTTGTGAGACAAACTGCCCTTCTAAAGGCAATCTCGGATCATAGGCCAATATTATTGGAGAGTGGGGATCTGGAAGCAACTCCTTATTTCAAGCAGTGTTTAGAAAAGCGATCGTTTCGTCGCTTTAAGCGCGAAGCGACGCGACCCGACCCAGTGTCGCTTCTAGCTGCCTGAGGCGACTCGACCGAGGGAAGCGCACGCTTCAATGGAGGAAGCGACGAAGCGATGAAAGCGATGAAGCGATCGCTTTTGTTAAAAAAGCGCAGAGGGCCCTTTTTAAAATAAAAAACTTTGGGTCTGTTTTTTTATTATACAAAACAGACCCTAAATCGACAAAAACTGACCATTTCTTCTTCTTTCTTCTTCGATCGACGTCGACCAAAGCTAGGGTTCAACTTCATCGACATTGCTGACCAGTCCAGGTAGTTTTCTTCTTCTCCTTTCTTCTTCTCTTTTTTTTCTTTCTTCTTTCTTTCTTCTTCTTGTTCCCGTCCAGATTCTGCTTTTTTTTTCTTTCTTTTTCCTTCTTTCTTCCTTCTTCTTCTTCGTTTATCTCTGACAGTCCAGTTTGCACACTGTTGACTGTTCAGACTTCAGCGTCTTCTTCTTCTTCCTTTTATCTCTAACCCGTCTAGATTCTGTTTTTTTCCCCCTTTTATTCTTCTTATTTATTAATTTTAATATTTTATATGTATTTCATTTTAGAAAATTAATTATTATATATATATGTTATATTTTAGTTTAT